GGATCAGCATAAAGGAGGACTCAGGAGCCAACCCCTAATGGACTTGCTGAAGAGCTCTGCAAGTGTACAGAGCACTCTGTGCACAAATACCTTCTGATGTAATGCAAGGGAATGAGAATTCATTTAAAAATGTTTTTGCATCTCTGGCTGTACCTTTCAAGTGCCAGCCTAGCTGTCCTATGATTGACACAATTCTGGCCAGACCTTTGTCTCACTTTTTTCAGCTTCTCTCTAAGCAAATTTGTGCATACTTTTTATTGTAATTGTATTTTTGTTTGCTTTCACTGTTTTACCAGTATCAAATCACTGTCCATATAGATTTCTGGGATCATTAACAGTGCAATTAAATAACACCAGACCCACTGGTGTCAGTCTGAACATTTTCCTCAGTGATGACTGGCCTCTGAAAGCACTCTGCCAGGACTGAAAGGAGGAAGTCCTGTTCCATGCAGCTGGGAATCACCACAGGACAAATTTTAATGCTTCTCCTTTTAGTACCCCTGGGCTGGGCTCCCAGGATGAGCACTGTAAAAGGAGAAAAAGATTATTGCTCTGAAGATGCTCCTGAGCAGCACTTGCAGTGGCATGCAGAGATCCTGCTGCCACAGGGAGGATGTACTTGCAAATAATATGTACTTGCAAATAATATCCTCAGAAAAGACTCGAATGTCATTCAGATTCAGACTCCTGGGCCAGCACCCTCCAGGACAAGGAGTCATTTCAACAGATGTGTGTTCTAGAGGGGAGTGCAGAGCCTTTCAGACACTTGGGTGGTAAATCCAGCTGCCAAGCACTGCTGAAATTAGTACTGGATGTATCTTGGATATCCCACCTACTCACCTGTCTACTTTGCTCAGCTCTCTGTCTCTACAAAGAGGCTGAAGCTGGGAAGAAAGGAGAGCTGGCCACATTCACCAGAGTCCTGTTGGGTTTCCTCCCCTCTGACACCTGACAAACACCCACCCCACAGCTGTGCCAGGTCATAGGTTGGACAGTTTTGCTGTTTAAGCTCCTGTCACTGGATTTCCTTGCAGAACCCTCTTCCCAGAGAAACAGAGGTAATCCTCAGCTCTCCTAAAGCGGCTGTTGATGTGCAGGGGATGAAGGATGGAGCAGTCAGTCAGGCTTACCCAGGGAAAGCACCACCTTTAATCACATTGCATTACAGCTGGAGGGCTGGAGAAGCTGAAAGCTCTCACATGATGTGGGAATTAAAGGGCCAGGCAGGGTCTCTGCACTGCTGTGATACACCCAGCAAACCTCAGAGCAGTGAAAGGGAAGGGAGGTTAAATTACACAATACACAGTAAAAATGCTGCTATTGAGACTCTGGTGTTTTTGAAATAGCATTTGCTAAAGATCCAAGTTGAACCAGTCTCCCCATTTCACAGCATATGGTAAGAGTGGGACTATCCAGGAGATCATTTTAGAGAGCTGCAGTTTTGGACTCAGTACCTGTCTCATCTCTGAAGCTGTTCATCACAAAGGGAAGCATTCCCTACACAGCTGTTTGTCTGGGAAAGCTGGAAAGGTGTGATCACATCCCCAGTTTCAGTCTTTCCTGGGCTTGGCCCATTTTCCTGGCACTGAGATGCTTGTACCTTCAGAGCAAAGTTGGGTCTGAGACCCACTGGCTGGTGCAGACACCCCAGATTCCAAAAGAGTCTGGAATAGAAGCCTGTGGTGGCTCTCAGGAGGACTGTGGGGAAGGTGGGGAGGTGGATGATACCTTGAAGCTCAGGAGTTTGGGGTATCTATTTCCAGAAAGACCTGAAACATTGCCACAGTTGTGACAGTGGAGGAAAAGATGAAAAGAACTTGGAGAGGCTGCCTGGCCCTGCTTCATTGCCAGAGCTTGTGGAGATGGAGAGGGAGAAGGTGGAAGACCAAAGACCCAAAAGGCTCTCTGGGAAGGATCTCTGTGGATTGAAGGATGCTGAATGGCCTTTGCTGTGGGGAGAGCCAGCAGCACCCACAGGTTGCCTTTTCTCTCAGGCCTTTTGCCTCTCTGTAGTGACAGTTTGGGGTGGTTTGGTTTGCCCAGGAGGAGTTGTTATTCTCACCAGGTTTCCAGACTTTCTTTGGGTGTTCCAATACCTCTCTATGCCTTGTAAGGTAGGGGTGTGACAGATTAACCCCACAGCAGTGGGGCTCCTGGGGTTCCTACCTGTCTGTGTCCCAGTGGGATCTGATTGCATGCTGCAGAAGGAATTCATGCATGCTGGCCAGCCCAGCGCTGTCACACACTGCCAGAGGTTTGTCTGTGTGAGGGTGAGGATGTAAGACACATGGAAAACAGCTGGGCTGCACTGCAGATGTGGTGAACTGAAAAAGAGACTGTAGCTGCTTCAGTGTTGAAATCTTCTCTGTGGGGTAGGAGAGGTTGTTTTACTTATCTTCATTTCCCTATTTATGTCAAAAGCCTCTTTTTTCCCCCCCTTTCCTTTTTCCTATTGCAGTTCATTTATTCTATAACCTTGAGAATAAAATCTTCAAGGAAGAGGAGATGATTTTTTTCCATTGCTGAACCCCTTGATATACCCTGCCAGGTCCTGTGCTCTTTGCTGGTAATGTTACATCTGAGACCACAAATCCCCTCGAGGTTCAAAGTCACTTTGTCCCAGCATCGTGCAGCATCCCCAGAATACAAAGGGCTAAAATAGAAAGAGAAGCAATTTGTGTGTCTGTGTTTTCAGACTTCATACATTCAGAGGTTTATCATGTCCAAAGGGTAGATCAAGATAATTAAATACCAATAAGCAGAGATAGATGAGCCCTGTGCAGGTCAGTTTGCTACACAATACAATACAAACTACCAGGAGCTCTTATAAATGCGCTGAAAATAGAAAGAATTCATTTTTGTTCCTTGTGCCACTTAAACTCACACCTCTCTTAAAGAGATATTTGATTAAATCTTCATCCAGCCTGATCTTCCTGTGGGGACCTTAAAAAACCCCTGTAAATTCACTTCACGCAGGACAGCCCAGGTTGTGCCAAGTTCAAAGTTTTCTCTACAGCATGAAACATGGACTAATCAAGATTTTTGAGTATTGTCTTGTTCCTCCTGGTTTTTTTTTTTCACTCATTTTCAATGTATGTCCCACATCTGTGATGGTCGGTAGGAGCTCAGGGTTTGTATCCAAGGTTTGAGAGCAGAGCTCTGGTTTTCCCTTGCAATATTGCATGGTGATGAGCAGAGATGACTGTATTGCATGAGACTGTTCCATGTCACCTGAGGGCTGTACAGGAAATGGTGAAATAAAGTCCTGGGTTGCACTATAATGGGGATCCCTGAAGCAAAAAAACCCACTTTTATTTATTTATTTACATACAATTGTAGAATCATTAGGGTTGGAAAATACTTCCAAGTTCTTCAAGTCTAACCTTTGACCAATCAATGCCCTGTCAATTAAACCATGGCACTGAGTGCCACCTCCAGACATTTCTTGAACATCTCCAGGCACGGTGACTCCACCACCTCCCTGGGCAGCCCCTTCCAATGCTTGACAACCCTTTCCTTGAAGCTGTTCCTGATGTCCAATCTGAACCTCTCCTGGTACAACTTGTGGCCATTTCTTCTTGTCCTGTCCCTTGTTCCCTGGGAGCAGAGCCTGACCCCCACCTGGCTCTGCCTTCCTGTCAGGAAGTTGTGGAGAGTGAGAAAGGTCTCCTGAGCCTCTTCAGCTCCCTCAGCTGCTTCTCATCAGACCTGTGCTCCAGACTCATTCCCAGCTCCCTTCCCTTCTCTGCACACGCTCCAGCCCCTCAACGTCTTTCTTGTCATGAGGGGCTCAAAACTCATCACAGGATTTGAGATGCAGCCTCACCAGTGCCCAGCACAGAGGTACAATCGCCTGGTCCTGCTGCCTTAGAAAGAATTCATTTTTTGTTCCTTGTGCCACATAAACTCACACCTCTTTCTGCTGCCATAGGAAAAGACCTTGTATTTTTGATACAGGCCAGGATGCCATTGAACTTCTCAACCACCTGGGCACACTGCTGACTTCTGCTCGTCCCCATTTCTATTCAGTAAGCAGAGCACGCAGTCCACAATCTTTTTTCTCAGTTTTTTACTGAAGTAGCACTGCCTGTGTTCATGGCAGCAGCCTCAGACCATGATAACCCCTTTGGTCTGTGGAAATGAATCATAACTAGTGGCAGTGTGCACACAATCTAATGATGCTGCGTTAGCACAAGACCTTTGTGATGGCCCATTGCTCACACAGCAGAGCTGCCAGGGGCTCAGGGCTCTGCCTTCTCCTGAATGCTTCAGTCCATTGCACACATGCACAGAGAGACTCATCCCAGAGAGTGGTGGGTGCAAAAGAAAACTGGGAAACCCAGACAAAGATGTGCATTAAGAACTACGGGGAAAACATATTTTTAAAAACAGAACTTGCTGTATATTATTAATTTCATTATTATCAGTGCTGATGTCATCAGAATCTTTCTGCAAATATATTCAGACATTGCACATGTCAAAGGGGAATCATGAATTATGAAAATTAAACTCCTTTGCTAATAAGGAAAACATTGATGGTATGGTATGGGATTTGGCATCACAACCATGATGACTAAAATCATTGCTGCTGATCTGCAGCAAAAGTGTCCTGACTTGAAATAAAGAAAATCTAATTAGCCCAGCCAAGTTCTTGACTGTGGGGCTGGCGAGGGCCCGGCCCACGCTGCCCACAGCAGCTGGCCGTGTTCCAGGCCAGCTTGGCTGGGGCTTGGAGCACCCTGGCCTAGCAGAAGGTGTCCCTGCCCATGGCAGCGGGGCTGGAAGGAGGCAATTTCTAAGGAGCCTGCCCAGCCAAGCCATTCTGTGATTCTGTGATCAGAGGGGCCGGGGACGGCTGGGCCTCATTTCTCATTGGAACCACTTCAGCACTCTGAGTCTGCTTGAGTTCAAGGAGACAGTTGATGAGCCCACACTGACGGCGTGTGACGTTTACCCGTGCCATAGGTCTGTCTGGCTGAGATCAATAAAGTCTCGCACAATGCAGATTCTGCAATGTTGCATTTTATTGAAACAAGAGCAAAACAGTTTCCAGCTTGCCCATCCTGAACATGCTAACTACAGAGCATTAATATGGCTCACAACTGAGAGCCACACTAGATACGGATTTGCTTGTATATCAAAATATTATCCTACGTGTTCTATCTATCCGTTATATATGCTATCAAGAGATCTATTTGATGAAACTCACTCCACACAAAAATGTGTTAAATGCATGAATATGCATCACAATAGATAGTGACACTACATGTGTCCTCTATTGTTATTATTTAAATATATTTACATATTCAACTCTTTAGAATGATATTGCTAAATGACACAAGCATTACCTATTTCATATTTTTGGTATTATTTCTATTAGTCTATTGTTTGCTTGTGTTGTATTTTGCTATCATATATGATATATTAATCATTATATGACTATTATATAGGATTACATGTTTATAAACATTAAAGTATAAAATACTTGAACACTATATATATATATAATATATATATATATATCTAGCTATGAAATAAAAATCTAGATTCTTCTACAGAAAAAATTTCAGGTCGGCTCCAACACAGCTGGTCCAGAGCCGACCCAAAGGTGTCCCTTCCGGAGACAAGGAGAGACGACGTCCATGGACTCATCCCGGGCAAGCAGCGCTGACTTCTCCTCTTGGTCCTTCTTGCTCCGTTGCTTTTTTCTTTTCCTGACCCGCATTCCCGCTTCTTTCACACTCCGATTTTTGGCCCTTCTCAAAGGCTGGCAACAAGTGCATGTTGCAAGTGGGATTTGGTGACTTTGGTGCTGCATGTGAGGCATGTTCTCTCTTCAGGTGCGCTCTTAGGAATGGGGAAACGCAAGCCGGGCTTTATGCATGTCTGGGTGTGTTTTTTTGGAAAAATTAAAGGATTCAAAGAGGTAGAAGAAGCCCTGCTGTGGCCCTCCACCTGCTGAGGCAGCAGGAGAGGCTGTGGGACTTTGGCCAGAGCCTGTGCATGCGTCCTCTTCTCCTTAAAGGACCAAATTTGTAGGATGAGGTGGCTCTTTGCTGCCAGCTGCCAGCAGCACAAGGCCAAGCACAGGCTCTGTGCTCGTAGCCATGACTCCTCTCCTTCATTCATTCAAGGTTCATTTTGATTGATTCATCGAACCACTTTCGCAGAACCCAGTACTCAAGCATGGCCTGGCTGTACGCGTCCGAGTCCTGCGCCAGGCGATGGAAGAGATTGTGTGTCGTAGCCGTTGCGACATCTGGGGGTACCCTGATGTCACGAGGAAGCCTCTCGTTGCCCACAATGAAGTGGTTGAGGCGTTTAGCTCTGACACATAAAAACAGGCCATCTCTGATCTGCAGCAGTCGCTCCAGGAAATGTCTCCTGCGCCACAGTGCCACGGGCGTGGCAGCGAGCAGGTGCATGATGAGGGTCTTGATGGCGTAGGTGGAAAAGCAGAAGCCCAGCTGGAGACGGGTGAAGAGCTGCAGGCATCTGAGGTGCAAACTGTTGGGGGGGGCCTGCCTGGCAATGTGCTTGAAGAACTTCATCTCTGCCACAGCATAAGTCTCAGGCCAGGTTGTGTTTGGGGTGTGGGCCTCTCTAGGCTGGCTGCTGACAAAGATGTCTGAGTCGCCTCTCCTTACCCCAAACAACATCTCAATCCTGAAGGTCTCTTCTCCGTTGGTCACCTTGAATTGGCAGGAGCGTCTGGAGGGCAGCAGCGTTAAATGCCAACCGTGTGACTGAGGCAAAGCTGGCCAGACTGCTCTCACCAGTTGGTAGAACCAGCGGGCCGTTTTCTGCACGTCGAGGTAGGAGCCGGTGCACAGGGTGTCCAGGAGGCTGGGATCCTGATTCCTCCTCAGCTCCTCCTTGGGGTGGTGCAGGAAGCACAGCATGTTGTCGCCCTGCTGCTCCCTCCTGCAGGTGCACTCCAGCTGCACGCGCACACGGAAGTTCCTCAGCTGCGTGTGCCCTGCAGTGTCCAGCTCCAGGTGGAAGCTGTGGCCTCGGGGAGGGGTCATGGGTACGAGCACGCGGTACACAACGTCCTGCTCGCGGGGACTCCAACCTTCAAAGGCGCTGCCCACCCCGATGGCTCGCTGCAGGACTGGGTAGAAACTGTTTGACAAGACAAGACCAAAGAAAGTGGCATAGTTGTCCATCAGGACAGTTATCCACTCACAGCCTCTCTGCAGGTCCTGGACAGGCCACTGGATGCGCTCCGTCAAAACTACACCGATGATTTCCCCAAAAACCTCCTCTATTTCTCGGACTAAATCTTCACGGTTGTTTTCTGCAGCTGCATCCTCATTGACAGCTCCGTTTCCACCATGATCTGCCTCATTTGCAGCAGCATTGCCCGCTTGCTGTACGTTGCCATCATCATTGTTGTCTTCCTCCCGATTCGCATTGCCTTCTTCATTTCCAACAGCTTCTTCTCCATTTGCATCCATGTTTCTGACTCCCTCTTCATTTACGCCATCATTTTCTTCTCCATTCCTCTCTCTCCTCAGGCTCCTTTCCCATCCCATAAACCATAGGAGCAAGACGAGGACCAGGAGCACAGCAACAGTCACGAGCTGCAAGTACTGTTGGGCTTCACTCTTCCGGATGAGCCGCTCCACTTCCTGCTCCAGCAGAAGCCTCTCGCGTTCCAGCTGCTGGGCACGCAGTTCCATGCGCCGACGAACTTCCTCATCCCAATCCCCCACAGGCTGTGGGTAAAGGGTGAGGCTCTTCAAGAGCATGAAAAGGAACACGACGGAATTCATGGTCTGCAGGAGGATGGAGAGAAGGCCTTGAGTCATGCTGTGAGGGAGGGAACTACTGGTTGTTGGAAGGAGGGCAGCAGGGATCTGCTCAGGGATCTGAGGGCAGGAAGGACAGGGCCCCAGACAGCTGGCGGCAGGCCTGTCCTGCTGACCCAGCAGCAGCAGCAGCTGCAGCAGCGTGGCCTGCCCAAGGCTCTCCCACGAGGGGATGTCCCCACATGCAGGGGGAGAAGCCAGCCCCGGGTGCAGCGTTTCCACCCTGGCCCTTGTCCCCAGCCCAGCCTCCCCAGCACGTGTGTACTCACCGCTTGCCCAAGCAATGAAGGCCAGCGTTACCTGCTGGGGCCTTTTGGAGCTGCCCCCATTGTGACATGTCCCCTGTGATGTCACAGGTGTCACAGCACATCACAGCCCAGCCAGCCCCACCTTTGTCCCCACCCCCACTCAGCCACTCACAGAGGCCCTGGTGTGCTGTTTAAGGCTGCCTTGGAGGGAATCTTCTTCCAAGAACTCCCACTGTTCTTTCTTTTGGGTTTGTTTTCATCTGCCCTCCACTGACAATCTCCCACATCTCCATGTTGGAAGGCACCCTTGAGGCTCACTAACTTCTGACTCCTCACTGCTTGAGCTACACGTCAATCTCTGAGTCAGTGAGGTTGAAAAGGTCCCTGATGATCACACAGTCCAACTGCAACCTTAACACGGCCTATTGCACCAATCAGCCAGGTCCCCAAATGCCACATGCCCATGACTTTTAAACCTTTCTGAAGGTGCTGGCTCAGCCATTTCCCTAGGCAGCAGCCTGTTCCCAAGCTAGACAGCCTTTTTGTTGAAGGAAGATTTCCTAGAGGTCCAATCTAAACCTCCCGGGGCGCAACTTGAGGTCATTTTCCTCTGATTTCCTCCTGTTGTTTGTTCCCTGAGCTAATAGCATGAGCCCCACTGAGCTCCAACCTCCCTTCAGGAACCAGGGGCATGGTGTCAAGTGCTTGGGCTGAGGTGAAGGCATCTCCTGGCAGAGGAGAGAAAGCTGGTGCTTTTGCACTGCACTTCCCACCACCCAGGGGGACAAAAGTGGCTGTGGGTGGGGATAAAAGTTTCAGGTGTTCCAGGCCAGGTTGGATGGGGCTCGGATCTCCCTGGCCTAGAGGAATGAATCCCTGTCCATGGCAGTGTGTTGGAACCTGATGCTCTGGTTCTCAGAACTCCGAGGTTCCTTTCATCCCAAACCATTGTATGATTCTTAGGCAGCAGCAAAACAGAGTGAGGATAAGGGTGGCAAATCCCTGGGAAGGTAACACAAATGGAAATCTTCAATGCTACTTCTGCATCTTTTCATCTTGTGGCCTTACCCTGGATTTCCTACCTCCTTGTCTGGAAAAAAGTGGAAACATGCTCAGTTTTCAAACCCAAGCATAAGCTTGCTGTAGCTGGAGAGGGTCTGGAGCCTGCCTGGGGATGCTGTGCCATGCAAACCACAGCTGGAGACCCACTGCTGCAGCAGGCAGAGAACCACATAGGAATGAGGTCTCCTGGCTGGGGCAGTTATGCTCCACCTTGTAGCTTGACCTGCCACGTGACAAGAGAGAGGCTCTTCTACAAGGCAGGGAATTTGTTCCTTGACCTGTCAGTGCCTGAACTCTGTGTAATGGAGGAACAATCCCATGTCCTTTACCTGGGTCCATTTGCTCATCTGTAAAAGGACAGCAAAGTTCCTAGTTCACCTCAGAAATAGCAGAGTTTCTGTGAAAGCACAGATCCTGCCCTGTGCTTTCACCTCTGCTGTAACTCATGCTGCTGCTGCTGCTCTCACTGACAGCAAAAATCCCTGATATTTCTCATCTCCTCGGTACACACACATTACTTTTGTGAGGAAGTATGCAAGCAAATATAATGGCACACACACAAAAAAAAATAANCTGCTGGCGGGCACCGGGGTGCACTGGGCTGCGGACGGGGCGGACCAGTACCGGGATGGAGATGGGGCTCAGCAGCGGGAACAGCTGGGTTTCGGCTCCGCCAGGGAACACCCGCCCGTTACCATGGCGACTGCATCCCCAGGTAAAAAGCGAGGGGTACCCAGGGATGCTCAACAAAGGGGCCCTGGCAGCAGCATCTCCCGGTTGTCTCGTTCCTGACGCTTCCTCTGTTTTTCTTCCAGCCCGGCTGCTTGGAAACATTGCTAAGGAGTTAGCGAGCGCATGTAGGGAAACAGAAAATAACGAGGAATTGCGGCCTTTGCAAATAGTTATTTTTTGCTGATGTGGGGGAGGGGGGACGCGGGAGCCAGCCAAGTTCCCTAAAGCTCTTTGCAGTTTGTCAGGCACAAGACAACCAGATTTTAGGCAAATGTTGAGAGGCATTTGATTTCACCTGACTTGATGTGGATCTGTCCTCATTTGTCGCACACCTGTTCACACCTGGAGTGACAGATCTCGATGGAGTTACTTCAGCCATTCCCCATGCACCTGGAATTCTTGCATGGCCCCTTATGATATTTCAACACGCAGCTTTTAATGGAGTGCCTATTTTGAAGTGTTTGTACATTTTGTGCATGCTTTTGGGACTTGTTCATTTATTTGTGGACTTCTTGCTTGCTGTGTTTTCTACCTTTTGAACACTCAGGTGTGTTCCACTTTGGGTGCATTCAGTTTAGGGTGTGCAGGTTCATTGCTTTTCAGTTTATTTTTGGGATGTGTTCAATTTCCCCTGGTTTGGGGCTGCTTTCTTTAGTAGGTGTATTAATAGCAGGTGCATATCTGTCAATGAACCCCAGGAGAATTCAGCTCCCCATAGCTTCTGGTTGAAATGTTTGGGGGAAAATATTTCTCTTTCCTTCTTGGTGATAATTCCCTACTTTCCTTCCCATTGCTGTCTGTCAGAAAACCCAATCAGCCAGAAGCCCCAGCCCTGTGGGAGCTGATGCATCCCATCTCACTGGGAAGTAGATGTTTCCATTACAGAGCCTGAAGCATTAAACTTGTCTTGAGTAAGTTGCGGGTCAGGGCTCGGGACAGGAATCGATCTTTGTTATGCAATAGCTGCAGGAGCATTAGGAACTGCGTTTTTGGGCTGAGTCCCTTCTAATCCCCTCCAGTCAATCAGCACAAAGAGTAGCTGGCCAGGAACAGCCCAGTCTGTGGCTACGTGTGCTGTTCTGCTCATCCCCACACGCGCGGGGTCTGAGTGTGCATCGGTGCTGGTGTGTGCTCCCGACATGGATGTTCCCCTGCTGCCTGTCTGTCTGCTCGATGTGACCGAGTTCAGGGGTAAAATGGGATCTAACACCCCTGTTTTGTTGTTTTGTAGCTCTAGGCAGGCAGCTCATCTGCTGATGTGCTGCTCATTCGCTGAGCTGAGTGTTGGGTTGTGAAACGTGACTTTCTGCTGGAGGCAGAGGCAGCTGGCTGGGAATGTCAGGCTGCCTGAGTGTGTGTGAAGAGGGGCAGGATTGGGGTCTCCAGGTAGGGCTGCCTCAACCATTTAATGACACAAAGAAGGGGGAAAAAGAGTCTCGTGAGCATTTTTTTGTTCACTGATGGATAAAAATATGGCCATGCTGAATCTTAGTGTACAGAACAAAGAGGGGTGATCTCTTAAACTGTGTAAATCACCATTTAATGGAATCACTGTGGAACCCCTTACACTTAATGAAGGCTTCTTCAGGCTTGATATACCTGTAGATTTACACTTAGAGAATGCAGAATAGACAGACAGAAAGAAACTAAAAAGAAGGGAAAAAAAGAGGAAAAAAGGAAAGAAACACAAAAGAAAGAAAAAGAAATGCAAATAAAAATTTCAGCTTTTGGAATCCCCTGTACAGGGCCTTAGATATGTTTGTTTGTGTCAAACTGTGGCAAGGTGGAGGCAAAGTGAGTGATACAGACCCCTTTTTTGGTGTTTGCTGGCTGTGGACTGTCAGGCTGTCAAATCAGCAGTACCATAAGAGTAGTAACGTGCTTTGAACATTTCCCATTTTGTTTTCCCTGCTCAATAAAGACCCGTTGTGTGGCTGTGTGCGTGTCTGGCCGACCATGGCAGACAGAGCAGCATCCCAAGCAGTGCAGCCCTGCGCACGCAGTCTCCCTCTGTTTGTGGCTGCAGCAGCTGTATTTCTGTTCCACGCTACCTAGAGAGCCACGACTCCCGCCCCCTTCACCGGGGGAAGTAAATAATTTCCTTGTTCTCTCTGTGTGACTAAGTATTCATAAGTTTCTGAATAAGAAGACTGTCATATTGTTGAATATCTGAAAGTGTCAAGCTTTTCTGAAAACTCTTTATTTCTCCTGCTCGGAGAGAGATTCCTGCATAGGAACGGACCCAGCAGGAGATACACAGCTCCAGCTTTTTCACAACACTGGCATAGTCTGCTGTAAACTCAAACACTCCTGACACAATGGGCCATCTGGGGACACTTTAGACAAGGAGCAATCCATCCAAACAAGAGTGAACTGGACAGAATAATTTTCAGGTAGCTTCCCAGCGCATCCTGTATCTTCCTCCACACCTGTCAGACCAGTCTTTTTTATTTTTTTTGTGAAAAACATGGTTATGCTCTCCGAGTCAAGAGCAGGGTTTGGAGTCTGGGAGATTCTCTCAGCATGAAAATAACTGAAAACAAATGGTGGGAATTTATCACAGGTTGTGCAGATGTTTTCTTATACAACCTAAAAATTTGCAAACTTTCCCTGATCTTGGCTTTTGTTTTAAGTTTGAAAACCAGCCAGGGATTGTTGAAAGGTTCAGGGATATTTTCAAGCTGGCCATGGGCCCGGCTGTGAGCCAAGCTGGCTTTGTGTCAAAACCTGGTGAGTGGTTTCTGAATGATGAAAAGCAATGGATTTCACTCCCCATTCTTTGGATCAACCAAAATCAGCAGTGATTGAGACTGCAGAAAAGAATTCCCATGAGGAGTGGAAAGCTGAGAGATTTCTCAAAGTCAGTGTAACGGGGAGCTGCAGATCCCACATCAGCCTCTCCTCTTGCAGGGCTCCAATGAAGATAAACTCCAGTAGCTTCTGGGCAGGGATAAGGCTGTTTCTCAATCTTTTATCCTAGGCCCCTGAATTTTGCTGAAAATGTCTCTCTCAAATGCAGAGTTTTCTTCTCAAAAATGAATTTGGTTCAGGGTGAGAGGACCTTGTAGGCAGCTCTTGCAAGGACTGGTGAGCAAAGCGGTCCTGAAGGGCTGGTGAGCAGTTTCATGTTGGTGAAGAGAGCCCCATGTCACCCAACACACCATCTGGTCACAGATTCTGTTATTTTATTTTTATGCACCAACAGTGATTAAAATCCCTTGACAGGAATTATTTCCAAAAATATTACACAGGCTAACAGGCGTTCCCCAGGGTAAATACATATGGTTTCCTCCAGAGAAATGGCAAAATGGAAGAATGGACTGTACCTCCATACTGGATGTGCTCTTCAGGGAAAAAGAGCAGGGAAAGGACAGGGATTCATACAAATAGTGATTCCTGTGTAAGGATCTGGGAGATTTTATGCAGCCTGGTGCATGGGTGGGTATCTGTAGGGTGATACAGTCAGTGGTGTGATGCCCCCATGTCCATGCAGCTGCCAGCTCCTGCTCACTCAGGCTTCAGACAGGCCACAGCAGTCAGGACATCCCTGGCATTCCTGGCCTGTTTCCAGCTGCCTCCAAAGTCAGGTCACATGTGCCCAAAGGAGAGGGTGCCATGGGGATGGCATTAATAACTGGGACATGTCTATGGGGATGCAATGGGATGGTGAATATGACCTGTGGAAACCCTTCTGGAGCAGCATCCAGGGGTTGGCTGGGGTCCCCTGGAGTCCCTCAGTGGTGTGGAAGCCCTGTGCCTGTGGGAGTAACAGCACCCTTTTGGTGTGTGCCAGTGAGGGATGGAGGGACTCAAAGCTGCTTGGATGAGGCAGATGAGTTGAGGAACAGCCTCTGCTTGCTGAGGAGCAGTGGGAGACCAAATCCCAGGTTTCATGCTCTGTTAGGTGCAGATATAACACAGAAGACCGTGAGGGGTGTGGGCTCCCATTGGATGAGGACAATCTCTAATGTCAGTGCTTTAAGAAAAGACCTTTTTAAAAACCCTTTCTAATCCACATGATTTGTAGAGGCTGGGTTTGAAGAGATGTGCAGTGTACCCATGTGCTCTCACCATGAGCTAACCCACCAACCCACCCCTCTGCCTGCAAGGGACTGCAGTGAGGTGCTCCTGCCATAAGCCTGAATTTGCATTGATAATTCTGCACCAGTGAATCTCAATTTATGGTTTCTCTCCAGTTACTGGCAGCTTTGCACCTCAGCATGAAAGAGATTTCTGTTTTCAGGCAGGCTGAGAGCCCCGTGGCTCACCTGGGTGGAGAGAAGCAGGCATGGACATGAATGTCTGCTCTGCTTGGGTTTGGCACAGACACTTTTTGGGATGTCAGATCCTGGACATATGCAGCAGATTCCCCAAGACAACTGACTCTTTGTGGCCTTCCCACCCTTCCCAGGTGTTGCCCTAGGAGGATCTCCCTCTCCCCAGGCATCCATAGCAATGTGCTGCTCAATGCCACCACGCTGGAAAGGCCAAGATCCAAACCCTAATTTCTCAAGTTGCTGTAGAAAAGTCTTGGTACGGTGGATTCACTGCCCTAAGCATGACACAGGGGAGCCTCAGCAGGTGTTTGGAAATATGTCCTGAACTGCCAGGCAATCCTGCTCAGATTGAACCACCTGAGGCCAGATTTAGCCTCACTATGGAAGAGTACATATTCATGCCAATTCTACTACCTACATTTTAGTCCTTCCTGATTTAGAGAGCTGAATTTAGGTTTTTTCTGCTCTCTGGATTAGCCACTCAAAACTTCTGATCTACTGCTGTGAGTGTGGGGGACGGGGATCATTTGGTGGAGGTTCTTCCCATTCCCTGGTGTTTTGTTAGTGCAAGCAGATTTTGAAGAGGGACAGAAACAAAGTGGATTTCTTCTCAGATCTTTCTATTCTTGTAATCCTCATGAAGCTTGAAAAAGTAGCCTAAGCCCACAGTTAGCCATCCAAAAAAAGAAAAAGTTCTGTTGAAATA